ATCACATCACATCACATTACATTACAGACAGACACATGTCTTGTCTTTAAGAAACAATTTTTGATTTTTATGTGTCCATATGGGGGTTTCCAAAAATAAGTGGTACCTTATTTTGGGGTCCTTATAATCAGGATCCCATTATTTAGGGTGCTATATTAGGGTCCCCTATTTTCCGGAACCTCCAAATGTCGTCACGGACAGAAACCCGGAGCCAGGGTGCTCCCTGCCTGCTCAAGAGCTCTCTGCGCGTTGTCTGCTCCCTGCTGTCGGGCAATGGAGCTGGTCACCACTTCCTGTACGGGCCGGCTCTTGGGCTTTAAAGGGATTTTAAAGGCGATTTTAGAGTTGCTTAAGGGATTTTGAGAGGATTTTAAGGGTTTTAGAGGATTCTAGGGCATTTTTTTGGAGGATTGTAGGGGTTTAGGGTTTTTCATTTGCGGGCAACGTGGGCCGTTCTAGAGTAGTCGGCTGCGGGCTCAAGGACTCCACGGGATGTCAGGACATTGCTGAAAGATAAGAATAGCAATAGAACATACTACAATACAATATACTACAATACCATGATACAATATGCACAATACAAGATACTTTAATACTATTTATTATATATGATAATACAATATACTATGCTTAAGGGCATCAGATTGGCCCACGCATGGGGGCTAAGTGCCTGCCAGGCCATAGGCTAGGACGCGGATCCTCAAGTCTACACCCGAGCTGAAACCCTAAACCCTAAACCCTAAATCCTAAACCCTAAACCCTGAAGGCTCCGAGCATAGCCCCAAGTGCGTGCACACAGGTTCCTCGCTCCAGGTGGACCAGCCACCGAGGTTCCGGGCCCTGTCAAACTCAGCTTCGGCGCTCGGGAGAGAATGTAGGGCTTCGCAGCTGCATGTATTTAGGATATTGTAGTGGGTTAGGTAAGGTTAGATTTTATGACTACTATATGTTATGATAGAGACATGTATGTAATTTAATGTTATAATGAACGGTCTTCGAGGTCGAAGACGCTTACTTTGCTAATCATTTCTGCTGCAAATGCAGGACAGCTTGCCTTTGGGAAATCAATTCGTTAGCTCTCGCACCCCCAGCATGTCGCATAGCAGGCATGTGGACATGGTTGCAATTCCAAGCAACTACCTGCAAGCTTCGTCTACACGACACTCCCTACTCCAAGTCAAGCTCTCATCCCAAAGCCAACGGAGCGCCACCGCAGCTTTACAGGATGCCCTGCACCCCAAAACCCACAGCTGCGGGGGTTTGTGAGCTTTGTCTTAGGTTTGTTCTGTCGAGCTGTCCCTTGCATTCTGATGGGGTTGAGACTTTGGAGACGTGCCCTGACATGCCTCATCTTCACGAAATGCTCTGCATCGCTGCTGCTGGAGTCCGGCATCTCCTTAAACTGCAAGGGCCTCAAAGGGTGATGCGGAACCCCCAGGCCCAGGCCCAGGCCCACGCTCTCACTCCGAATCGGGAGCCCAGCAACTCTGGAAGGCCCTCAGCCAGGCGCCGGAGCTTCTCCTCACCCCCAAGATCGAGGGCCCAGTGCCGCTTCAGGGTTGCAAGGTACTAGTACGAGCCTCTTCCAGCAGGAAGGACTTCTCGTCGCCGCCCTCCAGCTTCACCAGCACCTCCTTGGCAGAGGCATGGGGCATTGGTGTGAAAAACGCGAAGGGGCGCAAGCTTCAAGCAATTGGCATTACGGGCAAAGGCTTGTTTTCCCGTCAGCTCGCCATCACGCTCACTCATAAGTGCGACATCGGGGCTCAGCTGGAAAACGCTTGCGCCGCGGTTCTTCCTTTGACAGCCTGTGGGTAGCCACCTAGGGCACCAAGTTCGCCTGAAAGGCCGAACGGACTAAGAGGGGCCGGCGCTGCGATTCTTTCGCGCTAAGAACCGGGGAGGGCAGGAAGTTTGGCGGGAGCTCACGAAGCGGCCGCTCCATCTTGGCTGAAGCAGCTAAGCATTCAACATATCGTGCCAATCATCCGAGGAGTAGCAGCAGCAGCAGCAGCACCGGCAACAGCAGCAGCAGAGCGGCACAGCAGTACTGCAGCAGGATAGTAGCCGTCGTCGTCCTCGTCCAGCTTTCGGTAAAGGAACACCATGAAGTCCAGTTTTGCTCCCAGCTGGTCCCGGATCAAAGAGTTGTTCGCTGCTAGTCCTTGTGCTTCGAGGCGAAAGTGCCTACATCCACCAGCTTTCAGGGCTTCCAAAGAAGGCCAGCTGGCCTACACCCAAAGTGGGTGTGGCGCAGCCACGCAAAATCACGCATGTCTTTAGAGCGGTGTCGGGGATGACCCTGCCGCTCTGGTGGCCATGGCCTGCCCTTGAAGCTGAGAAAAGCCTCAACGTTCAACGGCGGCACGTCTTTCTTCGACTCGCATTGCTCACGAATGACCTGATCCACCATTCCAAAGTCTGCAACACCGTCCTTGCCGAGGAACGCATAGCAGGAACTCAATAGCTCTTCCTGAAGGAGGGAATCGAGCTTGCATAGCTTGCGGAACTTCCGGGTCTCGTCATCACACGAAAGTTCCCTCCTGAACATCGTTGCGCAGACGCGCACCGGCTGCAACTGAGTGCTGGATGGCAACGAGGCTCGCTTTGTTGCTCAGCTTCAGGGCCTCATACACTGGGTCCACGAAGCCCGTGAGTTCCGCGAGTTGAGCACCCGATTCTGCATCTCGCAACGTCGCTTTGACTCGCATGCACTGTTGAGTTTGGCAAGCTCAGAGCCGGTCCGGGCACTCGGTCAAACTGCTTTCTTCAGTGCTTGCACCAGGAATTTGTCAGGTGCCACTATGACCCATGAAGAGCTTCCAAGGCATCAGACGTCATCTTTGGAATGTTGGGGGTCGTGCCGCCTGGCAACTGCACTTGGGATTCTGGCCGTGTCTTCGAAAGCGCATCGTTGACGATGCAGGGCACTTCTATCAAGCTCGGGTAGAAACCGATGAAATAATGCAGGTAGCCTCTTGAACGCCGAATTCTCGTTCTGGCATCGCGCGGACAACTCCTGCAACCTGTATTCCCTGCAGCACAGTTGTTCCTTGCCCCTGAGGCAACACTGGAAACAGGGCCTTGAATGGCTGGAACGTCGCTTCGTGTGCATAAGCCACTGCGGTCTGTCCCGCTTGCAAACTTTTGATCAGGTCGTCGCGTACCACCATCAGCAAGCGCTGGCTTTTATTGCAAGCGGTTGTGCGCTGGAGCGCGATGCTGAGCTCGGGGGACAGGCTCATGCTGCAATGGGCTGATGCGATGCCCTTTTCCCTCTCCTTCGGTCTCCTTCGTGTGACGGCAGCATTTTGGACTGTCCTTCTGCGCATCCACCTTCCTCGAAATCCCTCAAAGCTGCGATTGGAGCTACTATCGGCTTCGCGATAACCCAGCATCCTCTCTGTGCAAGATTGGCGGCAGTCGTGTGGAGATGGCGGCCGAGTTGCTCCAGCGCCGCACCCCGGCCTCACCGAAGACCATGGCCGTCGCCGAGCACGGCCGAGAGGAGATCCTCGTTCACTCAAAGGTTCCTTATTCTAATTATAGTACAATGGGCCCCAAAACCCTATTCTAATTATTAAGGCACCTACATGGGGATTTCTCACTTCTCAGCTCCCCTCCTGCAGCAGGCCGTAGGCCGTGTCCAAGGTCGTGGGGTTCGTGGAGGTCACCGTTACTGGCCCAAGGACATCGGTCTCCACGGTGACAGCCTCGCGGCCGATGCTCCATGAACAATTGCATGAACATCCGCATGAGCAGCCAGCGCGGTTTCCGGGGCGCTTGCAGCAGACGCACCTTTCAGGCCGCAGAGCGGGTCGGTCAAAGGCAGCTCCCTCCTTCAGCATCGCAAAGGTATCTGAAGGGTTCAGTTCAGCCTACGAGTGCAACAAGACTCACAAGAGCATGTTTCCCGGTGCAGCTGAGCATCAGGGACACTGCAGCACGCACTTCGTCGTCCACAAGCTCTGCCTCACAGACCTCAGCACCCGCCCGCTTTAGCACACCGTCAGTCAACTGGGGAAGAACCGGCCCGGCCTCAAAGGCATTGTTGGTGGAGTTCCCTTCTGACTGGGGCAGGCACCATCTTCAGAGCATTTCCCCGAGCAGTGGCGGCTCGCACCTGGTGTGAGTTGATGGGGTGCTTAATGGGGGTCCAGCAAGGGATCTTTAAGGGACTTTGGAGGCACGCGGCCTGTGACAGCGTGATGCCACGGATGCTGTCTTTGGAGACCTGCGCCTGGAGAACAAGCTAAGGCGGCTCTGGGTTGGAGCTGGGGGTGATGCGCGAGTTTCGGGGGTTAAGGGTGCACCTGCGGGGATCATTGACCTCTTTCTGCTGCCTGAGAGTGTCGGAAGGATGGTCGTGAAATCCTTCGCGCCGAGCGACGCCGTGTGACGCCGAGCCCGCCGAGCGCCGAGCGACGCCGAGCGACGCCGAGCGCCGAGCGACGCCGAGCGCCGAGTGACGCCGAGCGACGCCGAGCGCCGAGCGACGCCGAGCGCGGAGCGACGGCCTCTTCAGAGCCGCATATGCCGAGGGGAAGAAA